TGTCACTTGGTAGAGAATGCAGGCAAGTAAAATAGACCTTTACAATACAATGTGTTAAGCACTGTTATAGGGGGGTTATAGGGTGCAATGGGAACACCTAGGAGAGAGACTTAAGCTAGGCTTGGAGTTAAGGAAAATACTGAGAAGTTGTGTCTAAACCGACACTTAACGGATGAGTAAGAAATATAGTAATGAGACAAAGTTGGAAGGAAAGAAGAGGGAATGGAGAACAGAGTTTGATTCAGGAGAGAATAATGTATGTGAAGGCTAGAAGCAAGAGAAAGGGAGAATGCCCTATGAACTTGAACACAGCTCAGAACTACAATCCAGGAACAGATCCTTCTCTCCTTAGCCTTCAGCCAACACCTTGATTTTGGACTTCCAGCCTCAAGAAATGGGAGATAATAAATTTCTGTTGTTTAAGCCACCCACTTTGTAGTAATTTGTTATAGCAGCTCTAGCAAACTAATACAATAGTTTGTTAAGATAAAGTATCAATTTACTTTGCAATGACAGATGAACATAATTTATGATCTTAATAGATTTCTAAAGTAAATATAGGTAGTGCATATCCAGTAGACCTAATACTAGGAAACACTTAATTTTCACTGTGCACAGATCTAGGCTGAGCCACTTTTGATACTGGAGAACAATAAACAAGGAAATCCTACAAAATAATCTGTGAAGAATGTCTTGAAAATTAAAGGGTTAGAGAAACTACCCAGAGACAAAAGTTGGAGAATTCGAATTATAGACTATCCTCATTAATTTACACCCAGAGATTAAGAACTTTTGATAATTCAATGTATTTTACTTTATACATATTAGCAACATTTTTAGAGGAAGAATATTTAAATGACAAGAGTAGAATATTTTCAAGCTTCTTCCAATATTCATTTTTCAGTTGTAGTATGAACACTTAACATGAGACCCACCCCCTCTTAACAGATTTTTAAGTGTACAATATTATCTATAGGCACAATGTTCTACATCAGGTCTCTGGAACTTCTTGCATAATAAATTTGATACATGTTGATTAGCAACTCTCTATTTCCCCTTCCCCACAGTTCCTGGTAACCACTATTCTGTTCTCTGCTTCTGTGAGTTTGACTTTTAGGTACCTCATTCAGCTGGAATCGTGCAGTATTTGAACTTCCATGACTGGTTTGTTTCATTTAGCAAAATGTCTTCAAGGTTAATTCTTGTTGTTGCATTTTGCAGAATTTCCTTTTTTAAGGCTAAAATTTCATTGTATGTATATACCTCACTTTCTTTATTCATCTGTTAATGGACATTTAGGTTGTTGTCATAGCTTGGTTATCATGAATAGCATTGCAGTGAATATGGGAGTGCTAATATCTCTTCAGGCTCCTGATTTCATTTCTTTTGGATAAATACCCAGAAGTGGGATTGCTGGATTATATGGTAATTGTTTTTAATTTTTTGAAAAATCCCGATACTGTTTTCCATAGCAGCTGCAATATTCTGCATTCTTATATAAGGTTTCCATTTCTCCACAACCTCACCAACACTTTGTTGCCTTATTTTTTTTCCCCCATAATGGCCACCTTAACAGGTACGAGGTAATATCTCACTGTGGTTTTGATTTACATTTCCTTGGTGATTAGTGACATTGAGCATCTTTTGATATATCTGTTGACCATTTGTATGTCTTCTTTGGAGAAATACCTGTTCAGATCTTTAGTCAAATTATTAGTCTTTTTTTTTATTTGTTATAGGAGTTCCTTATGTATTTTGGAAATTAATCCCTTATCAGTTATATGGTTTGCAAATATTTTTTCCCATTCTGTAGATTGGCTTTTCTCTCCGTTGATTGTTTTCTTTGCTGTGCAGAAGCTTTTTAGTTTGATGTAATCTCAGTTGTCTATTTTTGCTTTTTTTGCCTCTGCCTTTGGTGTAATATTCGTGAAATCATTGTCCAAAACCAATAGGTAAAGCATTCCTCCTATGTTTTCTTGTTGGAGTTTTACAGTTTTAAGTTTTGCATTTAAGTCCTTAATCCATTTTGAGTTGATTTTTGTGTATGGTATAAGATCCAGTTTTATTCTTTTGCATATGGATATCCAGTTTTCCCAGTACCATTTGTTAAAGAGACTGTTTTTTCCCCATTGTGTATTCTTGGCACCCCTGTCAAAGATCAGTTGACCATATGCATAGATTTATTTCTGTGCCCTCGATTCCATTGAGCTATATGTCTGTCTTTATACCAATATCATACTGTTTTAATTATAAAAGACCCAAGATAGCCAAAACAGAGTTGAAAAAGAACAAAGCTGATCATACTTCTTGATTTCAAAATACTTTACAAAAAATATATTACAAAGCTAAAGCATCTCCAATATTTTAAAGCACAACTTTAATGAAAAACTGTCATGCTGAGTTCCCATTAGCGCTGGGATAATGGTGGCTGCCCAAATCCTCATCTCTCCACATATCCTCCCCCAAAACCTGTTAAGTCAACAAGTAGTACAAGTAAACCCATTCATGAAATTATCTTTTTAGCATTACTAGGAAACCAAGGATACAATAAACTTCAAACTATATATAAGTAGGAAAATAATCAGCAGATTTTAGAGTTCCTGTTGCTGCAGCAAGCATGAAGGGTGGACGGAGGCGGGGCTTCAAAATCTCTTTGGAAAAGAGGAGGCTTGGAAGAAACAGTGAAAATCTCCATCATAAAAAGAAAGTCTAAACTAAAGTGTGAAAAGTCTAAACAGAGGTCAGAAAATATTCTTGTTCTTAGGGGTACATAGAGTAAAGTGGCATGATAAATGTAACTTACTCTCAGATAGTTCATTAAAAGTGATATACATTTGAGAGAGAAACAGCAAACATGGCAAAATATGAAAAATGGTAAGCCTATAAAGGATTTATAGGAGTTGTTTTGTATTATTATTGCAAATTTAATGTAAGTTTGAAATTATTCCAAAGTAAAGTTTTAAAAAGTTATGTCAGTTGTTTGTTCTGGACTAAATCATTTAGGTTCCTCCAGTTCTCTGTTAAGTAAATTCATTGTATATATTTGAATGGAACAAACTTTCATGTCTTTGAGATATCCCGTATTTCAGACTTACTAATGCATATCAGTCATCTCAATAAATTTAAATTTAGTGAATTTTACTAGAACAAGAGACACAGTGATGACTAGTGTTGCTTTTTTCCCTGAAAGGAATAAAATCATGCTAAAAATTGCTAGATAATAGAGCAGATTTTGATACCAAAATTTTAAATATTGGAATGGCTTTATAATTTCCTTGATGTATTTAAAAATCTGATTATATATAGTATGATTTGAAGCTAATAGAGATGACAATTCATTTATTTCTTCAAATCTCTCATCTCATAATTTTGTAATTTTCTGTAAACCTCTTGTAGACAAAGCAGAAAGTTTTGCATTGAATACTTACACTTTTCACTTATCACTGTTTGTCTAAACAAAATATCCAGAAAATAGTCTAGTTTTTTCTTTTTAAATATGCTGATACTCAGGATATTAATGTGAGTTCATTTAGGGTAGAAATAATAAAGGTAACTAAAAGTTGTATGTCCTACTTAAAAAGAATTATTTGTACCAGCCTTAACCCAATTTTTAAAATAGTGAAGTTCTTTTTTTTGTTTGTTTTTAAAGATATGGATGTGATGAGGCCCTTAATAAATGAGCAGAATTTTGATGGAACATCGGATGAAGAACATGAGCAAGAGCTCCTGCCTGTTCAGAAGCAAGAGGGTATTTCGTAAGTGTTACAGTTTATATGTCTCCTTTTCATTCAGTATGTATTTTGTAATCATCTTTTATAGACGAGGCATTTTATTAGATACTACAGAAGACACAAAGATGAATAAAACGTCCCCTAGTCTATTTGAGAAAGAAGAAATACATCTAAATTACAGAGCAGTGTATAGGAATTATTACAGTGATGAAACATATCAAATGCTATGGATCTTGAAGGGAGATCTCATTGAGAGGAATAGAAATTTTAAGAGACATGACTTCTGCAATGGTTAGGGGTTAAATGGTGGGAGGTAGGTAGTAAACCCTTATGCGGAGTAAATGGTATGAAACAGTCATGGAAATAGGAAAACAGTGGAACTTTTTAAAACTTTTTATTTTGTCATCATTAATAGATTTGAGTAAGTTCTTATTCCAATAGTAATTTAATGATTAATCAAAATTTTAATTGATCATAAAAGAATAGTACAAATAGAAAAAAATTTTTAAGGAAGTATTTTTGTTTCATCAGTTTAAAATTTTTACTGTTCTTCTTAGTTTATTTTTTTCTTGATCGAGAGACCTCATTCAAATGCCTCTTGGAAACTTTTCTTAGGTAAAATCCTTTAGGGAGTTCATTAGGTCTACAAGTTAATATTTGTCTTGCCTGATGATACACATAGTTTTAAAATTTGTATATATTTTCTTTTAATTAACTTCCTCTTAGGTTGATCATAGATCAGATATGGTTAGTACCATGATTACAAAGACAGTGTCAATAAATGGCTCTGTCTTACCAGCCTATCCATATATAATCTTCAACAGTGTTCTGAATACTGTAGCAGCGAAGAGTGTCATGAGAAAATTACCTTCTTTATTACTTTAATATGTACAAAAATATTTTTACTTAAATATCTCTTTTACAAAAATACTTTTACTTAAATATCTCTTTTACTTAAATGGGCCTATTACAGAGATGGCCCATTTAACTTCTGATTGAATGGAAATGTTATTTGATTCCTTGCCTAGATTAATTTTCAGTTTTTTTCTAATGCTAAAACCATGATCATGTGATTTTAATAGCTTTTGTTCTAAAATATATAATTCTCACAACATTTACTTTTCAGATTTGTACAGACTCTTATGCATCTTCTTAAAGGAAATATTGGAACTGGCCTTTTAGGACTTCCATTGGCAATAAAAAATGCAGGCATAGTGGTAAGACTTACCATTGTTATCTCTAGTTAAGATACAGTTATCAATCTTAATTTACAGCAAAAGTCGCCACAAGTTAATATCTGGCCTACTCAGATAAAACATGGTCAGGTGACAGTTAGATAATAATTTAGCCATTGCATTGATAAAATTATGTGAACTATAAGAATATCTAACAAAAAATGAGAAAATTACTCTTTGTTTCTTCTTAATTACTGCTTCATATTTTTTGACAGAAAGATCCTAAAACAGTATTTGGTTTCCCAGATATGACTTTCAGGAATTTAAGTAATGTATTCATATCAACAAATATATTTATAGAGCAGATCATTTGTATTGGTGAAATTTTATAGTATTTTAGAATCAGAATAAAATATGTAGTCTTCAGATTTAAAGAACAGTAGTTAAGAAGAGGAATAACAATATCTTTTGAAAACAAATATTTAAAGTATTGTTAGAACTAATTGTAATCACAGAGAATCTTGATAGGGACAATTCACTAATGAAGTAATGAAATTATATTTATTTCTCCGTTTTTTACTGGCTAGTTCTCTAACACTTGTAACTATCATCTTTCTCTGCATTTGACTTTGTCCACCCTAATTTAGAGAAACTTAAACATTTCTGATTATAAAAATAAGCTTTGGTAATATTTTGTGTACATCTCAATCCAGACATCACTTTGATTTTAGTAATAAATAGTTGAAATTTTGTTATGTACCACTCTTTTAAATAGTAATTTTCTAGGCACAGTTCCCCACACATAGTAAGCGCTCAACAAGCAATGTACAGAAGTGGATTGCCCACAATCCCATATTGAAACAGCATTTTAAAAAAAATAATTTAGAGATAATGATGCGTAGTTGCATATCATTATTTTGGTGGGACACCAACAGTGATAGACTGCCATCTCATGTTAATATGATGTTGTATTCTGTCTTACTTTGTCATATCTGTATTCATAGGTTTAGATAGCCAAGTTGACAAGATGGAATCATATGTGGTTGTCTTAAGTACTACTAAAAGTCTGTCGTTTTTTTTTTTTTAGCTTTTCCTTATGCAAATGGCTATTTAATCATTTGTCCAACAAATATTTATTCATTGCAAATGAGTAATCTGTTGTCTCATTGCTTATAAGCCAACTTAATTTTTGTTAAACTCAAATATTTAAACTTTATAATTTTTTCCCCTACAGCTTGGACCAATCAGCCTTGTGTTTATAGGAATTATTTCTGTTCATTGTATGCACATTTTGGTACGTTGCAGTCACTTTCTATGTCAGAGGTAAATGTGGATTTGTTAAGTCTATTTAATTTATTTTAAAGCTGTGTAGTTATTGCAAGTATCAGATAGTCATATTTCTATTGTGCTTTGCAACTAGCAGTTGTAGTTCCTATAATCAGTTATAAAGACAAATCTAAGATAATATAGAATAAAGTAGCATTTCATATGATTGAAATCTGGTCAGAATATATTCTTTTAAAATAAAACCTTACTAGTGAAATCTGGTCAGACTATGTTTACTTCTTTTGAGATATAGCCTTGTTAGTGAAATAGAATGGTTTCTTTTAGTGTAAATGAAGAAAATCAGGAAAGGTATATAGGGAAATGGAGGCAGCAGTACTGCTTTTAGTTATAGTGTAATGGTCTTCAGTTTGTTAGTAATTAATTTTGGGGTATAATGACTTTGGTGCTCTTTGCTGATTATGTCACTCGGTAGATAGTAAAATAATATTCTTTTTTCTTTATATTTGTATCATGAAATGCTTCTACTGGACAATGGACCAACTTTTTAAAAAATAAATGTTAACCTATCCTAGTAAACTAATACTCTAATCCTTACTGTTGTTGTTAAATGTTCTTAAAACTGGGTAAGTCATTCATGATCTTTAAAGAACATGTATACTTGGAAAAGAAGTGGGAGCGAGGACATGGGGAAATAATACCTACTTCATGGGGCTATTTTAAGGATCAGATATGGTAGTTTATGTGAAAATATATTGTAAAGCCTTGTAGAAATGTATTAAATAGTGCTAGTCTAAGAATGGAATAAAAGAGGCATGAACAATGTAATTGATGTTTTTAGGTAATTGAAATATTTAAATCAGTGAAGAACAAATATGTTATGCGAATGCTACAAATATATAAACTTTAACAGTAGATAACAACTAATCTATTGGTAATAAGGGCAGATGTAAAATTTTTCAATTTCATGAGACATACTTTAAGAGTATGCAGATCTTGAAATTTCAGAAACTCCTCTGTCAGAGCATAACCTCATATTCATTAATTCCCATTTATTTGCTGTTCTTTTCGATGGGAGGATTTATGGACCAACTTAATTTTTTTTTTTTTCATTTGCATGTATGTCATTAAACTACAGATTTAAAAAGTCAACGTTAGGTTATAGTGACACTGTGAGTTTTGCTATGGAAGTAAGTCCTTGGAGTTGTCTTCAAAAGCAAGCAGCATGGGGACGGTAAGTACTTGCTATGTTATTAATATCTGGTTATTTAAATTACATTAATTTTTAAGTAATTTAATCTGACAAGATACATGAACAGAAGTTACATTTATACTTTTCTAAGTATAAAAGTATGATAAAGTTGGGGGATTAAACAATCTTTAGACTTAGGCAGATCTCAATGCCATTTCTCAATTTTGAGACCTGAGTCAAATTATCAGAGGTTTTTTTTGTTGTTTTGTTGGTTTTGGGTTTTGTTTTTTCTTAGTTTTCTCACTATCAGATGAGTTTGTAATAATACTTGCCTCACAGGATTATTATAGTAGTTTAAATGAAATTTATAAAGCACCTGGGTAACCTATGATATAATGATGTTCAATAATTTTTTAAGGAATAGGCAAGAAAAATGTCACGATCTCATTATATCAAGTAAAACCGTACTGTTTAGCTATATGTTCAGTATGTATTTTGGCATACTTTTCATTATCTTGTTTAAATGTAACTCATTGGTGAACATGGCTAATCAAAGTCACATGAATACAGGACTGAAAAACTAAGGCAATCAACAAAATGCTTACTGTGGTACAAATGATGTGTGCAGTGGAATTTAGAAGAAAAAGAACCATATTAATAGGGTAGTATATGGCTAACTATGGCCTTTCTGGGGGTTTTCAGGAGTTTAGATTTGTTATGAGCCATTCAGAGTTCCTGATATGCTGAGTAGGAAAAGGAAGAAAACAAAGCTTAATGCCGTAGGGATTTGCCGCCAGAACTGTATCTTCTTCCTTCTTCTGCCCCAGTCCAGAGGCAACCTTGTCTGTTTTTTCTATCAAGAAGAATGGCTTTCAGATAGAAGTGGTTGGAATGATTATTGCTGGGATGCTAAAATCAAAGATGGATAAAGAGATCTTAAGAGTATACTTAAATGTAATTCATCGGAGAGAAGAAACTTGGGTTCATTTCAGGGTACCAAGATTACTTACAAATTAGATTCCTGAAAAACCATAGAGAACTGTAGAGTTATGATAAGCATAAAGATAGGCAAGGGCTCTTCTAGTTTCAGATGGCAGAGGGAGGATCGGTAGATTTGTAGAGCACATTATTTGACAGCTTGACATTGATGGTCAAACAAGAGACTATAATGAATTAGTAAGTGCGTGCTATTTTAGTCACTCATTGTTCCCAGAACAAAATTGAGAAGTGTGGGCTGTATTTTAATAACATGTAGGCAAATTTGTAACTTGATTAACTGCCATACCCAAATAATGCTAATTTGACTGGTGATATCCCTTCCCTACTCCTGATTACTATTTTATGTAACTGGAATTTTTTAGAGTATCTCATTAAAAAATAAAGACAGAGCTAAGCTACTAAGGAGGTCTCTAGTGGTATGATTTAGGGCCATGTCCCCAGTCCTCTCCAATTCCATATTCTTACTAGTGATTTGGATAGTAGAGTATGCTCGTCATATTTGAAAATGACATGAAGCTGGGAGAGCTGGGAAATATATTGGGTTGATCTGATAAAAATTTTGAGAAGGAGAAATGTGCTTAATCTAAAAGAAAAATGTTTTCATGGTATTTTATAAGCAGATACTCTTAAACTGTTGAATTTCAGAAATAAATGATGAGAAAATTTTGGCCTTTTAACTTAATGGAATGTTCTTTTGCTCTATAGTAGTTCTAGTGACATACTGATCATACATATATGATTTTTAAATAAAATAAATATTTTAAGGAAGTGAAAAGAATATATACTGTTATAAAATGTTTTAAAATAGTTGAAAATAAAATATATATTGACATTTCAGCAGCTCTTATTGATACTTATTTGTGAGTATCTCTTTACAGGAATGTGGTTGACTTTTTTCTGGTGATAACACAGCTGGGATTCTGTAGTGTTTATATTGTCTTCTTAGCTGAGAATGTGAAACAAGTAAGTATTTTTCTCTAATGAAATCATTTTCTTCCAATGCCATAGTTATTGCATCATATATATTTCTTCTGAATGAGCCATGGTTGAATATGCAAATATGTTCATTTCAATAAATCATGTTCCTTTGTAGATTTTCCTTTAGTCTTCTTTTCTGCAAGGTGGATTCCTGCTATTGTTGGTTTTACTTCTCGTTATATCAATGATGCTTGTTCTTTCACATCAGAACAGGACATAATTTACTGATTCTTAGCCACCTGAAATTTAGATACACAGATGTTTGGGAGCATATTTTTTACATTGATGTTTTATAAAGACATATGTAAGGCTTTAGCCAGAGCCTAAAAAGTGCAGTAAAAAAGTGGGCATTACTAAAATCCAATAATTACTGCCATTGTCTAAAAAGATGCTGTGTCTAGAAATATACAGTGTTCTATAATTCTCTCCATATTTGAATATTTGCTTTAAGGAGTAGTAGTACATTCTTGGTAGAGGTGGTCAGTTTGAACAAACATGCAAAGCACTGAAATAAAAAAAGCTCCCCTATCAAAACAATGCCAAAGCACATTTCTTTATGTGCCTTAACTGTTAGATTGTTTTTACTATTCCTACATTACCTCCAGCTCTTTAATTATTAGTTTAATTAATATTTATTAATTATCCACATGTGCATGATGCAATAGTAGGCATTGTGCATAGTCATCTATTAGGTATTTTAATGCAAAATTATGTGAATATGTTTTCTAAAGAACCCCATATACATATATTTGACTCACTTTTCTAAGTACAAAGTATGCATTATTTTCTATTTAGACCAAGAATTGGCAAACTTTTTTTGTAAAGGGCCAGATAATAAGTATTTTCAGTGTTGCAGGCCATATGGTCTCTGTCTCAACTCAGCCATAGACAACAGTACATAAACAAATGGATATAGGTCTGTATTCCAATAAAATTTTATTTGGAAAAATAGGCCAGATTTGGTCTATGGGCCATACTTTGCTAAAGCCACCAGCTTAGATTTTTAATGTTTGAAAGGCTCATTGAGTCAGACTCCCTTTTATAAATAAGAGAGTTGATGCTTTCATTAGCATTATCCATTATTGATGATGTGCTTATGATTTTACAAGTATTTAATTCCACAAGTTGCATATTCCTAGGACTACAAACTCAGTTAAGAGGCTGTTGTCAAGCACTGGTAAGATAACATCTTACCAATCATTCATGTAGAATACAGTGGAAAGTATGCCTTTCTAGGATTGTGCAACATGATAGTACTGTATCTTTTCTGTTACCTCCAAATAGAACAACCAACAAGCTTGATTTGAATTCAGAAGTAATACTAATAATGCTTTATAATCTTATATTTATAAGCTATGACATATTTAATCTTTACAACTGCTCTAATATAAGTACTATGCTCATTTTATGAATGAGGAAACTGTCACAAAGCATGAGCAATGCACTAAGTCATATGAATTATGCTGAAATCTAGGTCTCCAACACAGTTTCCACCCAGCATATTAATTGTTCAACACTGGACAGAACATCGTCTGATTTTAATTTGCGTGTGTGTGTGTATGTGTGTGTGTACGTGTACATAAAGAGTATATAAAATGCATAAAATAAATGTCTATAAACTTAGGATTAGTAACTTTCTCCTGTGAAATACTATCAGTTGCTTCCAAAGTTAAATGGAAGAATTTAACTCATTTGCACATATGCTAGAAGACCAAGTAGAAAAAATGACTCTCTGGGAGCTAAGGAGAATGCCTGTTGTAGATAGAAAGATGAAAGTCCTTTTGAGGCATAAAGAGCAACATGGAAAAAGACATTCCTTGAGACTTGAGAAAAGCCGAAAGCAACAATAAACACATTATCTTGGCAGAGCAGACAGATGGTCACTGAAACAGCATCATCAGAGATTTTTACTCTCTGCAGAAGAGAGTAAAAGTGTTCTCTCACTTTCGATAGCAGTCTCCAATAGTAGGTACATGGGTTTATTAAACCTTACCAATTACAGCTACTGTTATAGTTAAAAACTGTAAGATTATTATCACCTTATTCTACATAAAATTGAAGATATATAGTTCATCAAATTAAAGAATTAAGAGTTTAGTTGCTATAGAGATGCGGGAACCTCCTGCTCTATAACTGCCATGTGGCTGTTCGTGGTCCCATTAGGCCACTGTGGACAATTGGCATAGTGAAAAAAACCATAGTGCTTCCAGTGATTCTAGTCCATTGTTGTTAAAGTTCCTGTCTGTTTTTACTCTAAGATACTCTAGAAAATTTCAGATAGATAAAATATATACTATGGACATGAAGAATGGGAAAGGGATATTATTATTAAGAAAAAATATAGCGATACTAAAGACTTGATGTGGACTTTAGAGTCAGAAGATCTGAATTCAAATCCTTGTTCTCAGTATTAATTCACGTTGGGCAAGATCCCCTTATCCCTGGTCAGGCCTCAGTTTCCTTATTTATAAAATGAAAATAGTAACGAAATCTCCTCTTGTTCCTCATAACCTTATTGTGAGGTTCAGCTGACAAAAACCTTTGTAAAATGTAAAGCAGCATACAAATATAAGGTATTATGGCTTTAATTTTGCATTTTAGCTTTGCTGAAGGCATAATCTGCCTTTGGAATTGTAACCATTAAATTACTGGATCATTGATAAGTTCATAAGTAGTGGTTTTTAGTAAATTTGAGCTCTTAAATGAAAACAACTGAATTTAGTAATTTTATTTTATAATATTTATTTCAGTGTTTTGCATTTTGGTAAACATGTGAGATCATAGGAAGTCCTATTAGATAGCCAATCTCTGTCTCTAGAGGGCACCAAAGGACTCAAATGTTTATCTGAATCTTGCTCTGGGTATGTATCTACATTTTTATTTTATTTTTAATCCTGAGAATTTTTATAACCATCTTTCTGCTGAGAAATAATAATTATTATGAGAGATTTGTGATAGAATTAATTTCAAATTCCCAAGCACTTAATGATTCAAATGGCACTTTTTAAAATTGGTTACATAACTGCTTTTCTCTTGCCAGGTACCCTTGTTAGAGCTTAGCTTTGATCACTATCTAATCTGATTATTAGAAGTGTAGAAATATTTGGCTTCAGATAATTTGGTTACTGAGAAAATTGAGTTGACAAATAAAATATGTTAAGAGCCAAGTAATGTGAATTAACCAATTTAGCTTCTATTTCAAATTATAGAAAAATAATACATGAAGTTTGGATGGCCAATTACAAGATAAATGTGAGCTATGCATTTCTTAAGTGGTACATGGAGTAACCTGAGAGTTTAGTTAGTCTATTATGAGTTATAACTTGCCTGTGTAACTTGAAGCCAGTAGATATATTTCCTGCAGTCTCAGGTGAGGTATATACATTTGTAGTGGCAGTAAACGTTGCTTATCGTGGATTATAAGTGTAAAATGAAAGGAAACACTTGAATTGTTAATTATATGAGAATTTTGTTCTAAAATTCTAATTTATTGGCCTATTAATACTTAACTCTATTTAGAGAGAGAGAGTGGAGGCCAGGTGGCCACTTCCACAGGGCCTCCCTTTCAGGGTTGCAGTATTTTGGTCAGGTTAATGTGAAGCTAGGTTCTGGAGCTTCAAGCCTAGGTTTGACTTCTAGAACCACCAGTCACTGGCTTGATATCATGTAAGTTTCCTTTACCATCCCTAAACCTCAGTTTCCTCAACTATAAATTGAAATTAATGCTATCACCCACCTCAGAGAGTTGTTTTGAGGATTAAATGAGATATTGTATATAAAGTATTTAGTTCAGTGTCTGACACATAGAAAGTACTCAGAAAATGCTTGCTCTTAATTTGATTTGGTTTGTAAGAATTTATCCAAAGATTTGATAATGTCATTGTGTTCAAAGGAGGGTATAGTGTTTGGGGGCAAATAGATTTTTCACTGGTACTTAAATTCTAGTATGATCTGCCTCTGCTATGAGTTTTTAAAATTGTTTTTCAAATTCTCCATCATTTCATTTCTATTTTAAGTAAGTTGGGTTGTGTGATTAATTGAATCAGAGACAATTTTTAATATATGGAGCCTGTAAATCATTGTATATCTTTTGAAAGCTGAATATTGATATGTAGAAGTGGCTGAATAAATTTTAAGGTAAAGTTGATTTACTTATAGAAGATTTTGTTCTAGCAAAAATTTATCTATTATCTAGTGTATAGCCATGCATGAATTTAGTGGATTCTTAACAAATATTTATTGATAGTAATGATAATTTATGAACAATTGCTTTATAAAAGTTTTACAGTTAGACTGTAATTTCTAAATTTTATTTTGACTACATTTCTTAGAGGTACTTAGAGCTTGTTTCATACTCTGAAGAATATTAGTTAGAGTAGCACATTCAATGGCCATTCTAGGCAAATATGCTTCCTCTTTTGATGATCTCAAAAGCAGATTGAGCCTTTGCAGGAATCATGAAGCAGCATGGTTTATTACAAAGCTTCAAAATAAATTAAATCTACTCATAATTTTCTAGTGAACTTTCCGTTCATGATATGATAGAAGTTATTTTGTAACCCCTATTGTGAATATCCTTAAATTTGTTATTCATTCATTCATTCATTCATTTCTAGGAAGCTAGAATATCTTGAAAAAATGTAGATATTTGTTGTAAAGGAATTTATCATTGAGGGCATAGACCAGAATTTTCTTTTTATTTCCCTTTTATGATTATAAGTTGATGTAAGTTTTTTTCCCCTCTCTTCATTATTCTCCTGATAATCCTATGTGTAGGTTCATGAAGGATTCCTGGAAAGTAAAGTGCTTGTTCTGAATAGTACCAGTTCATCAAATCCATGTGAGAGAAGAAGTATTGACTTAAGAATATATATGCTTTGCTTCCTTCCATTTATAATTCTCTTGGTCTTCATTCGTGAACTAAAGAATCTATTTGTGCTTTCATTCCTTGCCAACATTTCCATGGCTGTCAGTCTTGTGATAATTTATCAATATGTTGTTAGGGTAAGTATTACATGTTTTTAACTGTAATATGCTTCTTAATAAGTAAATTGTTTATTTTGAAGTGAAAGTAATGACTTGTAAAGACCCCACTTCATATGTGGCAATACGAGGAGATAATCAGTAAACTTTGGTTTTCTTGTGTGTGATACTCCTCAGTTAGAAAAGTATATGACATAAAGATTGAAAGCACAGGCTTCATAGTCAGATCTGGGTTTGAATCTTGATAAATACACGTCTGGGCTTTATGACATAGCTTCAGAAGATAGTAATACCTACCTTACAAGAGTTGTGAGATTTAGGACTGTGCCTTTGTACACTGCCTAACATGAAACAGAGGACTCATTAGTATTTTGTTTATTCCTTTAAGATGCAAATCAATCACAAGATATGGGAATATAGATGTAATTTTATAATTTTCTTTCACTTCCGAACCTTTATTTACTGCTACCACTTTAGTCCACTGCCTATACTATACTAGATACAGACTACACTAGTCTGTATCCTTTTTATCTGAAGTATGTGCATATGTCAATTGATTTCATTGTCTGTAGTCTGGGGATTCTTAACCCACTTTCCTTAAAAGAATCTATTGATGGGATTCAGGAGATCTGAAATAATTAAAATTACTTGCGAGATATAGTGTTTATATGTATATGCATTTTTATACTGAGCAGCTTAGTATAGCTTTCATGTCTCAAAGGGGAAAATGATCGAAAAGGTTGTGAATCCCTGTCCTATTCTTTCCTGATTCGATCCATCTTATATATTGCTGCCAAAGTAATTGCTCTAAAATCTCCATTAACAATCCTTTATAGACTCTCTTACGATGGCTCTACATTTCATTTTAACCCCCTCTCTGAATTACAAAACCTGTAGACTCTTTCTTATAACATATAAGAGTGGAAGCGGACAAGCAGGAAGATCTCATAAGGCTTTCTGGAGTGTGTGACCCCTTAGCTGAATGTGTGAGTCAGTGGAGCAGAAAAGGAGTTTCCTTAGATAGAATGGACAGTGTGAGCCTTGAATAACAGTGTAGTATTGTTATCAAATTATCCAAACACTTTAATACACTTGTCCTTCTGACCTAGGCTTATGTTTTTAGCCATGTATCACCATTAAATAACACAGTTCTTCCTAAACTTCAGATATTCTAGACCTATTTTCCAGGTTATCTGTGTGCTTTCATATTTCAGTTTCTTTGTTTATCCTCTTTCCTTGGCCTTCTATTTTATTTTCAATCAGATAAGGCAGAGAACACAAGATGACGAGGCAAATAGGGACCAGTCTTGAGGTAGCTGAAACAAGTGTCCATTGAACAAGATATGTAGCTTGTGAGTTTCCAGATAGTAGAGAGTTGGAATGAGACTATGAGTTGAGACCAAGTCATCAAAGCCAGAATCAAGGCATATGCATAAACAATAAGGGTAATGGCAACTGCGAGTTCAAAGAGTAAAACACTGAAACCAGGGGAGACCTGTACTAGGGAGTAGCACAGAGTTATGAGGTAGAAAGCCAAAGTCAGGAATCAGGTATCCTAGAGACTGAAAGAGCAGTGAAAATCGGGTAGAGAATGAGTTTCGTTAGACATCATCGACAGTGATTAATAACTGATTATCTGGCTCTCAGCTCAGACCTCAAGTATGCTTATGTATTTCCTGTTGTGGCAGGAGCTATACCCAGTGTGAACAGCCTAGGACTTGCAGGTGGAAACAGGTAATCAGGAGCATTTAGCTCAGTTGGAATGCGTGGGCATGAGGGAAACAATTGCTTTTGGCAGTGACATCTTAACAGCTTGGCTGTATTTAACATAGGATGCTTAAAGTGTTCATTGAAAGAATTATTCACTTTTATAACACATTTGCTGTTGTGAAGCTCAGAATTATATGATTTTACTCTTTCATTTAAAATTTTTTAAGATAAGTAAAGGTATAACTTGCTTTATTTGTTTCTTCTTTTCTGCAGAATATGCCAGATCCCTACAACCTTCCAATAGTGGCTGGTTGGAAAAAATATCCACTTTTTTTTGGTACTGCTGTATTTGCTTTTGAAGGCATAGGAGTGGTAAGGATTTAATGTTTATTATTTTTAAAAATCTTAATACAAAGATTTAAGTCAAGCTACATTTAGAAATGTATGTTTTTCTTTTTTGTTTCTATTTTTGATATTTCTAGAACACGATTTGCAGTTTGATATAATAGGCTCGACTTAACGTTTAATTCTTCCACTAACCAAGAGTTTAATCTTAAATATATCACTTAAATTCTCTAATTCTCTTTATTTGTAAAATGAAGACATTAGATTATTTTTAATATTTTATTATGTAAAATTTTAAACCTATACAAAATGTAGATAATCATATGATGAACTTTTATGTAAGCATCACTTGGTTTCAGAAATTATTAACACATAGCCAATTTTGTTTTATCTATGTCCCAGCTACTCTACTAAGCCTGGGTTATATTCAGACAAATCTCAAACATATTTTATAGACTGGATGATTTGAAGTAAATTGAAATTATTACAAAGGTACTATTACATAAGAAAAGTCCAATATAAATTCTCCCTTTAGATTTGTTCATATCATATTTGTTTTGGGAAATGATGTTATCCTCAGATACAAGTATCCTGAGGATTCTAAGATCTTAAATATTTCCACTCAAGATGCTTCCATGTTTTTTAAAGCCCAGAATATATAGATTTGAGGAAAATAGATTATTGCTGTCTACTCTATAGCTTGTTTCATAGTCTGATGGTATGGTATGGGAGCGGAACCACTCATAAACATCTGTTTATGTGAAACAAAAATAGATCTAAAAGACAATTTTACACCATTTTACTTGGGTTTCTGCTCTCCGAATTCTCCTTTAGAGAATTCTCACAAGTTCTTACAATTCCACTTACCACTTTTATAGGCATACCTGCAGGTTTTCATTTCTGTCTTTACCTAAGCTCTAGTTAGCTACTGGACATTTCCATTTAAGTGTTGTTTCTGTGACACCTCAAATTCAACAGGTCCAAAGTCTGACACGTATTTTCTTATACAAAACTAGCTTCACTTTTTCATTTCCCTGTTTCTTTTAGTTCTACTTTTAGTGGCTCAAGCTTGAAACATTGTAGTAATTCTTTTCACTCCATCTCTGGTTTCTTCATTGTACTCAGTAATTAAGGCATGGTGATTTTCTTTCATATTTCCCCAGATCTATTTCATAAATGGGATTATGTGTAAAGCACTTAGAGTGCTGCTTGACACAGAGGGAGCCTCCATAAATGTTCATTTTCTCCCCTTTCTCCTTTTCTAGCTCTACTGGCACCATTTATTGACCATAATCCCTTATTTCAGTTATTTTCTTTCACTTTTTTATATAATGAAAATAATTTATTCATCTCACTAAAGTGACATACATAGATACAGATGGATAGATAAAGAAACAGTTATAGACGTGTATACATGGGTTATTATACATACATATATTTTCTAGTACTGTCTGATGAAAGGCCCTATAAGCACTGATGCCTCACTAGAAACAAGAACATCCAGTACCCAAATCTTGATTTCTGAATACCATTTGCAACAAAAGAACCAAAGTTTTTTGGTGAAATGGCTTATTCTAGGGCTGAAGCAAGGAAATTCAAGATGAATCTGGAGCATCTTGTGCTAGAAAGTATGGAAGTGCTCAAAAAACAGGAGAATGAAGGCAAGTCAATGGGACATAACAGTCAACCTGATAGAATTTACAACCACCAAAGCTGGGGCAGTATGAGCAACAAAATAACAGTGTTTTGGATTCATACTCAAAGTTTAAAGCAAATATACATGAATCCATACTAATATAAATGATAAATACTAATATAGATAAAAGTAAAAACATACAAATATGTAAAAAAGGTGAGGGAGGGTATTTCCAAATAATTTATGTAGCTACTCCCCCTCCAGGAGCTGCAGCTTAATCCCCCCTAGTCCCTGGAGTGTGGGCTGGCTGCATTGTGTGACTTGCTTTCACAAAAATAGTGTATGATGAGAGGGAGAAGAACTTTACAAGCAGAGGATCCTGGAAAACACTGCCTTAACCAAGTGATCAAAATTCACCAGTGATGAATCATGTTGATACTGTATGTGATGAGACGGGCACTTCACCTTTGTGGTATCTTTTTCTAAAACCTATAATCCCAGTCTAGTCATGAGGAAAACACAGACAGACCCAAAGAGAAGGACATTATACCACATACCTAGCCAATACTCCTCAAAATGGTCAAAATAATAATAAGGAAAGATTGAGGAACTTTCACAGACCAGAGGAGACTAAAGCGACATGGCAAGAAAATGCAATGTCCTATCCTGGATGAGACTCGAACCGAAAAAGGACATTAGCAGAAAAACTAGTAAAATCCAAATCAAGTTTGGAGTTTAATAGGAATGTACCAGTGTTGGTTCTTAGTTGTAACAATTGTACTTTGGTTGCATAAAATGTTAATAGGGGAAAGTTTTCACATTTGTTTTTTAAAACAGGTTTGCCTGCTAAGAGTTGATTTTAAATCTTTTTAAAAATCTGTAATGTAATATATATATATGTATAACACCTAGAAACATACTTCAACAATTATAAGTGTTTTAAAGGAAAAAAGATTTGCATATAGACTGCGGAAAGATTAATTTGTAGAAATGTAAGACAGGATACTAGATTGTTTTAAATTATTTGTTTTCTGCATTCTCTTCTTAGGTCCTTCCACTGGAAAATCAAATGAGAGAATCAAAACGCTTCCCACAAGCATTGAATATTGGCATGGGGATTGTTACAACTTTGTATGTAACATTAGCTACCTTAGGATATATGTGTTTCCGGGATGAAATCAAAGGCAGCATAACTTTAAATCTTCCCCAAGATGTATGGTAGGTATATATGAGTTTGTTAATCCTAGTCTGTATATTTTATAGATGTAGTTTGCTAATATTTGATGATAAAAGTGCATTCTTGGATTTACAGTTTAAAAGTGTAATTTTTACCGATTTCATTTGTGTAATCTAGAATATTTATAATCTTCAGAGACCATCTATGATTTTGCATATCCTTGTGGGATTTTTTTAAAAGATTAAACATTGTAGAATGTTCCGAATTTGAGTAAATTAGAAGAGTAAAACATGAATTCTCTTAATATGGACTCTCTTGAATAAAAAATTTAATACTTGTCCTTGATGCCAAAAAATCCAACACTCTGAGTTCTTGATAAAATAATATAACCTTTCACTATGGCCTTTACTGTTATACTCACCAATGTTAATATTGTATGCACTCCAAAACCTTTCAGACACAGGGCACATTATATGTAAATTAAATAACGTAGTGTCCTAATAGTCTCTAATATTAGAACCATATTCCGTTAAATGAAGCAGTGTATAGGGTTTTTCCTTCTTCCAGAGATTAGTCTCTGGAGAATGCAAAAAGATATGCATAGTGATTACTATGCATAATGTTCCCTTATTTATAAAATGGAAAGTAACTTCTTAGTTTTGATAAATGCAGAGAATAAATACTAAATTGTTGATTAATGTCATGCTGCTCCTTTAGCTGCTTGGATTGAAGTCTATGAGACCTTAAATGTTAAATATAGCACTTACACTAAAAAATATTAAGGGTATTAGGTTTTTATACAAACAAATATTGAGAAGTAGTCAGGTGACTTCTGCTGTTTCACATGTAGCAGTCTTCATGAAGCATGTATTGGATAAGAAAAATTCAATCCAAAAAATAGGGAAGGAGCATGTAAGAACAGGGAAGCAATGAGGTAAGCATTTTAATTTACTAAGATAATTGAGCTGGGACTTTATTCTCGCCGCCCGCCCCCCCCAAGAAAGCAGACCCCAAGACTAAGCCATATTTGTAGCATACAGGAGCTAGGAGTGAATATTCTGGGAAATAAAGCTGACGAGTAATCAAGGTAATCAAGCAATGTCTTAATTGATCCTACTAGACAATCATAAGGTTCAACTCTGAGGAGTTTATTGCCTAAGATGAAAATGTTTAGGTGAAAATGGACTCACCAAGAGACACAACAAATAAAAAAATAGAGAAATAAATTTAAGGAAACTGAAAAAGGAGATTCACATACCCTAGACTGTTCCCTCTGTCCTCTCCCTCACAAATTCTTAAATCTCCATCCAATATTAAAGTTGCCTGTAACAAGGAATTCGGGCCCAGACTGTCTCTGCCTTTCCTCATCAGAATATCTATTATTGATCATACTAAATTTAAAATGAAGGTTATCTACCAAATTCATTTATTCATCTAACAGATATTTATATTATGCCTTTTGTGTACTAGGTACTATTCCAGGCACTAGAGATATAGTGATGAACAGATAAAAATCTCTTCCTCATGATGCTTACATTCTACTGAACATGCTACAAAAGTTTAGTCGTTTAAAGCATTTAATCTAGTAATGAATATTAAACTCCCATCGTCTTATTTTTTAGCGTAGAATGAGGTGAGGTTCTTAGTAAGAATTGTAGCTAGTCTTCAAAAAGACTCTTATCACAGCTAAACCCAAGATTCTTAACCTGAGTACAGTGAAGGGTCCAAGAGGGAAAGTGAGTTATCCGATTCTTTCCAGGGGGTAACTTCTGTATTCAGCCTTGAGAAAAAGACTTGGTCAACAACTTATTTCTTAGGTTGGCCTTTAAAAACTTTTTAAGATATTCATACATGTAAATTTAGGTTAACTATTGATTTGTTAGCCAATGAGTGGAAAAAAATAGAAGCGTTGCAAATTTTGAATCCCATGTTTTCAAAATTAATGTTTTTAGCGAAACATTAGTTGTCTCCCCTCCCCTTATTATGATTTCATGTATTGACTGCAAAATAATTATTTAAAAAATACATTTCTGCTCTTTACTAAGATGTTAAATGTTCTGCTAACAGTATAACATATTTGTTTTAAAGCAAGAATCATTCTTTGGATTATTTTTATTTGTAATATTGAATGGATGTAGTTTCTAAAAATTACCTGTTCATACCCTTTTTCATTATTAATATTAATTTAATATTTAATAAGTATATGTCACCTACTAAGTATATTGATGGTGGAGTATACTGAGAGGAATAAAACACAGTCTCTAACTTTAAAGAACTTTGGTAATGAGTTTTAAAATACCTTTTAATGTACACTACATGTTACTTACAAGTTTTTATGTTCTTATATATCCTCAAAACAAATTCTTGTGATTTTAAGAAAGTTTTTATACTTTGGAGAGAGAGTTTACTGGGTAAATTGTTCTTTCAACTCTTCATTTCTAAAACTTAGTATATAAAGGACTCTTACCAGAGCTGCTTGCTAAAAACCAAAATGAGAACAAAGGTTAGCAATATCTCTAGAAAAGTTGAATAGAGAAAAATAGTTTGGGCTCTTGAATCAGAAAACAAGTAGAAATGAAACAGTTGATTTTAAAAGACTACAGCACTTTCTTAAACATTTCTATATTACTTTTCATTGTTTATGAACAAGTACATCTGCTTCCAAAAGACAGAAACCATTTATTTCCCATTTTTATTCTGTGTAACACCAATAATTGCAAAAAACTAATATTATTGAATGGTTATTAATAATAATGAGGCTCAGCCTATATAACTTGTTTTATAGCAATAAAAATTATATGCATAATAACATTTTAAAATATATTAGCTATATTTTAAAAACATGTAAGTTAAAAATAATTTTAAAAAGGAATGTTCTAATAAACTAATAAGAATATTCAATTCTCACAATCACATATAAGAGTATGTGAAACTAGGAGGCTTTCTGTTATTTTGTACAGTTCAGTAATTTGACCATTTTGTGTTTAATCTTTAAACCTCAAACTGAGAAATATATCCTGAGATTGTTTTAAAATTAAGATTTTTATTGTGCCAGCCCTAAGGAGTTTCTTCTTTCCTTAACTATGTTATTTGTAGTGCTTTTAAATCTATTTCTACTTAGCTCTTTCCTTCCTCTTCTATGATGAAAAAATTATAGAGGAATTACTGAATTCCTTTTTGCTCTGCCACAGTTCAGAGAACTGTTTATAATCTTTACCACTTTGTCTTAAGACATCGAAATTAAGCTGAAAGCCTAATTAATCTTGAGGCCTTTCTTTACCAAAAATGGGACATTTTATAACCCTTTAAAGTAATTGCATTTTTTTCCTAAGAAACGCTCTGCCCTGTGCATACACATTTTAGGTGACAAAGTAGAACTTTTAAGCGGCAAGATTGTTGCTATCAATAACATTTCCCCCGAAAGAGGATAGACATGTTAGTCACTACCCGTAATGCAGCGTGTGGCTCATTTGATTCACAGGCTCGTCTCTAGTGTGTTTCTTAAACAATACAAGTGTGATTGGATTTTTCTATTGATTGTTGTCAAATATTCGGAATTTCAAAAAATACAACACATAATTTTATTGTTTGTAACCTAAGGGAGTAGGTTCCATAGTTTCTCTCTGAGTCCTACAATTATACATATTCTTTCTGTGTCATTATTAACTTTTAAAAAGGCATTTTCCTAAAGTTTTTATTAAGATATACATGCTGAGTTTTGGCAAGAGGCTGTCTACAATGTAGAAAGCTAAAGATATTTATAAAACTGAACATTGCTGTGCTGTTTCGAAGCACTGGGCATCAAAAAAGTTGTTTACTTGGACAAAACAACGACTGAACCCAACAACTTTATTTCTCTTATTAATGTAACTTTAAAATAGGCAGAATTCCTATGTAATCTAGAGAACTTTGCAAGCTGAAACCATTTAGATGCCCTCTTCTTAGACTTAAGAATGACGATGACATTTCTGTAACTAATATACATACCAAGAAATTTCTAGCAAGGAGAACTATATAACTCAATATGAAGTTTTTCTTCTCTATATAAATCACTGAGATATCAAGGACATACAGTATGCTCAATTTTTAAAAAGAAAGTTGAGAAAACATTAGCTCTTCATGGGGCTCACCCTAACCTTCAGAACATTGGCTTAGCCTCGAATGAAATCTTTCCAACAATATTTTGCAAACCTTTGCATGCCACATTCAAGCTTTCTAGGGTTGCCAGAATGAATTGTCCATCTATCATCTAGAAATATAGTAGAAATCAGCTGTGTTTTTTTTTTTATATAAACAGTCATTAAAAATTTGTAAGATACTGACCTAAGTTTGTGTTGGATTTCTTGTCTAACATTAAAAAGGAAGAAAGCTAGATTTATATTAAGACAACAGTGTGGTTGAACCTGAAAGGCATTATGCTAAGTGAAATAAGCCAGACAGACAAAGACAAATACTGTTTGTTATCACTTACATGTGCAACCTAAAAAAAAAAAAAAAAAAAAAGGCCAGCTCACATAAACAGTATATTGGTGGTTGCCAGTGGCTGGAGGATGGGGAAAAGAAGAAATCTTTGTAAAAGGGTACAAACTTCCAGTTATAAGATGAATAAGGTCTGAGGATCTAATGTAACAATTATGACTGTCATTGATAATACTGTATTTTATAATTGAACTTTGCTAAGAGAATAGAACCAAAGTGTTCTCACCAAGAAAAAAAAAAGTAAAAATATATGGTGATGAATCTATTAATTAACTCAATTATGGGCATCATCCTTTCACAATGTATATCAATCATCATGTTGTACACTTTAAATATATTACAATTTTATTTGTCAGTTATACCTCAGTCAAACTGGGGGGGGGTGGAAAATGACTAAATTTTGAATTTTTTTAACAGGTTATATCAGGCAGTGAAAATTCTGTATTCCTTTGGCATCTTTGTGACATATTCCATTCAGTTCTATGTTCCAGCAGAGATCATTATTCCTGCGATCACATCCAAATTTCAGGCTAAATGGAAGCAAATCTGTGAATTTGTGATAAGATCCGTCTTGGTTAGTATTACTTGTAAGTATCATTACATGTTTACATTATAATAATTTTTTGTCGTTGTTGAGCTTCATTAGCTAAATTATATTTTAAATATTTTTAAACAATTTTATTCATCTAGCTGAGATACTTTTTAGTTTAAAATTTTATTAGTCTACTACTATTTAAGAAAAACACAACCAGACTCTACCACACTTAAAAAAACTATCATTTTGAAAATGACGTCAGTTATGATTAAAATATACTTAAATCAGATGCATAAGGGCACCCCTTATATTGCTGATACACATTTTGGTTCTAGTTTTCTTCAGGTTTTTTATTTCAGCTGACTTTTGTATATTTAACAGTTTAACTCTCCATGACTATATATAGGACTGGGTTTTGTTTTGGCGTTTAATAATTTCAGTGGTTTATTTTACTTGTTATTCGAAGGTGTGTACATAATCTTTTATTACGGTTCCATATTAGAAAATGTCTTCACAAGGTAGCATTAGTAATGGAGACTTGTGGAGAGGGAACTTGAGTTTGGTATAGTATAAAGTGTGAGTTTTGGAGTCTCACTGACCTGATGGTTCAGACTCAGCCCTACCACTTACTTGCTGATGTCTTGCATGGCAAGTTACATACCACCTTTGAGACCCTCTTTCCTCGACTGTGGAATAAAGGTAAGACTTCCTTATGGCGTTTTTGTAGGGCTTAAAAATATTAACAAAGTAGCTAGAAGTTACTGTTATTATTGTCACCATTATTATTATAACTGCAAATAGAAAAGTGACTGCAACACTGAACTAACGGGATTGCCTAAAATGATACCAGGGACCAAAATTCCTGGTGTTCTGAAGATTAAGCAGCTTTGGAAATTCTGTGGAAGATATGAATAACCATCTTGGCCCTTTTCAGGTTATAGTATGGTAGAGCTAGAATTCTGGGCAACTTTGTAAATTGTATTGAGTAGCTTGGGGTAGAGTTTATGCCTGGATTTAAAGAATTGGGTGCATTACATTTCGAAGAAAAAGCAAAGCTGATAAAAGTAGATAAAACTTATTTTCAAAGTAATCATTTTTTTTTAAAGTATAGTTGGCATACAATATTATAGTAGTTTCAGGTGCACAACATAGTGTTTCAACATCATATATCTTATGATGTGCTGACCATAAGTCTAGTAATCATTTATCACTGTGCAAAGTTATCACACTATTCCCAATCTATATTCCCCATCACCTTTTTCACCTATCCCTCCACCCCACCCCTCTGGCAACCATTGGTTTGTTCTTTGTTTCTATGAGTATTTCTATTTTGTTTTGTTTTATTTTTTCTAAAAAATTCCACATATAATAGTGGAATCATGTGTTATCTCTCTTTCTCTGACTTATTTAGTAATACCCTCTAGGTCCATCCATGTTGTCACAAATGGCAAGATTTCGTTCTTTTTTTATGGTTAATATTCCATTGCATATATGTACCACAACTTCTTTATCCATTCACCTATCGACAGACACCTAGGTTGCTTTTACACCTTGGCTATTGTAAATAATGCTGCAGTGAACATAGAGGAGCATATATCTTTTCAAATGAGTGTTTTCATTTTCTTTGGTAAATACCCAGAAGTAGAATTGCTGGGTCATATGGTAGTTCTATTTTAGTTTTGTGGAACCTCCAAACTGTTTTCCATAATAGCTCTACCAAATTCTAGTCCCACCAACAGTGCATGAAGGTTCCCTTTTCTCCATATCCTCGCCAACACTTGTATTTGTTGACTTTTTGATAATAGCCGTTCTGACTGGTATCAGGTGGTATCTCATTGTCATTTTAATTTGCATTTCTTTTATGGTTAGTGGTGTTGAGCATCTGTTTATATATCTGTTGGCCATTATGTCTTCTTTGGAGAAATGTCTTTTCATGACCTCTGCCCATTCTTTGATTGGATTATATTTTGCTGAGTTGTATGAGTTCCTTATATATTTTGGATATCAGACCCTTATTGGATATATCATTTATGAATATATTCTCCCATTCAGTAGGTTTTTCTTTTTTTTTTTTTAGTTGGTGGTTTCCTTTGTGGTGCAGAAACTTTTTAGTTTGAAGAAGTCCCGTTTGTTGAAAATAAACAGCTTTTATTTACTTTGCTCTAGGGGACATATCCAAAAAGATATTGCTAAGAAATGTCAAATAGTTTACTACCTGTTTTCTTCTGGGATTTTTATGGTTTCAGATCTCACATTTAAATCTTTAATACATTTTAAGTTTATTTTTTATGTGGTATAAGAGAGATCCAGTATTTACAATATCAGTTGTTGAAGAGACTGTCTTTACCCCACTGTATTTTTTTGCCTCCTTTGTCATAGATTAATTGACCATATAAGCGAGAGTTTATTTCTGGGATCTCTATTCTGTTGCATTGATCTACGTGTCTGTTTTTGTGCCAGACCATATTGTTTTGATTATAGCTTTGTAGTATAGTTTGAAATCAGGGAGCATGATACTTCTAACTTTGTTCTTCTTTCTCAAGATTGCTTTGGTTGTTCATGGTCTTTTGTGATTCCATATAAGTTTAAGATTATTTGTTCTAGTTCTGAGAACAGTGTGACTGGTATTTTGATAGTGATCATATTGAATCTGTAGACGGCTTTGGGTAGTATGGTCATTTTAACGATATTAATCCTTCCAGTCCATGAGTGCGGCACATTTTTCTGTTTATGTCTTCAATTTTTTTCTTCAGTGTCTTATATTTTTTTAGAGTACAGGTTTTTCACATTGTTTTTTAAATTTATTCCTAGATATTTTATTCTTTTTGATGGAGTTGTAAATGAGATTTTTCTTAATTTCTCCTTCTGATCATTATTAGTGTATAGAAACATGATGGATTTCTGTAAATTAATTTTGTATACTGCTATTTTACTGAATTCATTAATTCTATTAATTTTTTGATGGATTCTTTAGGGTTTTCTATATATAGTATCACATCATCTGCAAATGGAGAGTTTTACTTCTTCCTTTACAATTTTTACGTCTATGTTCATCAGGGGTTTTGGCCTATAATTCTTTTTCTGGTGTTTTTGTCTGGTTTTGGTATCAGAGTAATGCTAGACTTGTAGAATGAGTCTTCTTTTTAGAATTTTTAGAATAGTTTGAGAAGGATAGGTATTCTTTAACTGTGATAAAATTGGTAAAATTCACTTGTGAAGCTGTCTGGTCCTGGGCTTTTTTTTCTTAGGAATTTTTTGATTACTGCTTCAGTTTCATTGCTGATAATCTGTTCAGATTTCCTGGTTTAGTCTTGGAAGTTTGTATGTTTCTAGAAGTTCATTCACTTCTTCTACATTATCAAATTTGTTGGCATATAATTGTTCTTAGTATTCTTTAATGATCCTTTTTATTTCTGTGTTATCAGCCGTAATCTCTCATTTCTGATTGTATTTGAGTTCTCTTTTTCTTGAGCCTGGCTAGAGGTTTGTCAATTTTTATTTATCCTTTCAGAGAACCAGCTCTTAGTTTCATTGATCCTTTTTTTTTTTTTTAGTCTCTATTTTGTTTATTTCTGCTGTGATCCACATTATTTCCTTCTACCTACTTTGAGTTTTATTTATTCTCTTTTTAGTTCCTTTAGGTATAAACTCAGATTGAGATTTTTCTTGTTTCTTGAGGTAGGCCTGTATAGCTATGAACGTCTCTCTTAAAACTGCTTTTGCTACATCCCATAAATTTTGATGAGTTGTATTCATTTTCATCTGTCTCGAGGTAATTTGTGATTTCCTTTTTGACCCATTGGTTTAGTAACATGTTGTTTAATCTCTATATATTTGTGTTTTTTTCCAGTTTTCTTCCTGCAGTTGATTTCTAGTTTCATGCCATTGTGGTTGGAAAATATGCTTGGTATGATTTCAGTCTTCTTGAATTGAGGCTTCTTTTGTGACCTCATATGAGGTCTGTCCAGAAAATGTTCCATGTACACTTGAGAAAAGTGTATATTCTACAGTTTGGGGATGAAATGTTCTAAAAATGTCTATTAAGTAGATTGGCTCTAATGTGACATTTAAGGCCATTATTAATTTTCTGTCTGAATGATCTATCCATTGAGGTAAGTAGGGTATTAAAGTCCCTTTATTTCCATTAATATCCATTAATATTTGCTTTCTGTACTTGGATGCTCCTGTGCTGTGTGCATAAATATTTATTATTGTTCCTTTTCCTAGATTGAACCCTTTATCATTATGTAGTATCTTTGTCTCTTTTTATATTCTTTGTTTTAAAATTTATTTTGACTGATATGAGTATTGCTACCCTAGCTTTTTGTTTCTATTTGCATGGACTTTTTCAGTCCCTTAATATTCAGTCTGTCTTTTGATCTCAAGTGAGTCTCCTGTAGGCAGCATATAGATGGGTCTTGTTATTTTATCTATTCTGCCACCCTATGTCTTTTAATTGGAGTATTTAGTCCACTTACATTTAAAGTATTTATTGATAGGTATGTGCTGGTTGCCATTTTGTTGTTTTTTGGTTGTTTTTGTTCTCCTATGTTCCTTTCTTATTTTGATCTTTTTGATTTACTGGTGTTCTTTAGTGTTTTGTTTGAGTTCATTCCTTTTTTGTGTGTTTTTTGTAGGTTTTCTGTTTGTGGTTACCATGAGGTTCATATATATCTATCTATAGCTGTAGCAGTCTAGTTTAAGCTGATGTAAGTTTAAATTCAAATACTTTTTAAAAGCACTATATTTTTACTACTCTCCATGCTTTGTTCTTGACATCATATTTTATCTTTTTGTCTTTCCTCTATTGTAGTTAATTTTGCTACTTTTGTTTTTTGATCTTCTTATTAGCTTTTTAAGTGGTTGATTCGCTATGTAATATTTGTCTTTCTTTACCAGTGGTATTTTTTCTTAAATTTTCTTATTTCTGGTTATGGCTTTTTTTTTTCCTACATGCTTTAACATTTCTTGTAAAGTGAGTTTAGCAGTGGGGAACTTTTTATCTAGGAAACACTCTCCTTCAGTTCTGAATGATAACCTTGCCAGGTGTAGTATTCTAGGTTATAGCTCCCCCCCCCCCCCCACCACCCCGCCCCTCCCCGGCAGCAATTTAAAAGTGTCCTGCCACACCCTTCTGGCCTGTAAAGCTGCTGTTGAGAAATCAGCTGACAGCCTTTGGGGTTTCTCTTGTGTGCGACTAGTTTCCTTCTTGCTGCCTTAAAGATTGTCTCTTCATCCCTAACTTTTGCCATTTTAATTACAGTATGTCTGGGTGTGGGCCTCTTTGGGGTCATCTCGTTTGGGCCTCTCTGTGCCTCCTAGACCTGGATGTCGTTTCCTTCTCCAGATTAGGAAAGTTTTCAGTCATTATTTCTTCAAATATAGTTTCTGTTCCTTTCCTCTTTTTCTGGAATCCTTCCCTATAATGTGAATTTTAGGGCACTTCATGTTGTACCCAAGGTCCCTTATACTAGACTCATTTTAAAATTTTTTTAATTTTGTTAAGTGATTTCCAGTATTCTTCCAGTCACTAATCTGTTCTTCTGTATTAACTAATCTGCTGTCAGTCCTCCTAATGTGTTTTTTTCAGTTATTGTATTCTTTATCTCTTTCTTGACGTTCTCTGTGAGTTCTACTTTCCTGCTCTCAGTTTTGTTGAGCATTCTTATGACCGTTGCTTTGAATTCTTTACCAGGCAAATTATCTTCATTTTATGGGAGTTTTTCTTTGGAGTTTTTTCTTGTTTGTTCATTTAGGGCATATTCTTCTGTTTCCCAATTTGTTTAACTTTGTGTTTCTTCCTGTGAGTTAAATGAAATAGCTATCTCAATCTTGAAAAAGTCGTTTGTAAAAGTGGCTTCTGCGGATATTGTGTAGCCTGGTGGTTCAGGTAGATTTGTTGGAGTTGGAGTGGGCTCCTGTGGTACCACCTGGCCAAAAGGTGTGGAGTGGGTTCAGGCATCCTGGTGTGTGGGCTTCCCTGCCCTGCACTGCACTTCCCTTCCTTCAGGCATCCTGGTGTGTGGGCTTCCCTGCCCTGCTGTGCTGAATAAGGCAGCCCTGTAGGTTTGTGCTACAGAGCCCTGCTGATTCTGCTTTTAGTCACTTCAAAAATGTCACAGTAAAGAAAGACGAAGCCCTGTAGGCTTGTGCTACAGAGCCCTGCTGATTCTGCTTTTGATCTGGGCAGGGCTGCCTGCTCTGTGTGCGAGGTGAGCCCTATTGTTTTGATTGACTGCCGCTGGTGGGAGAGGGGGGAGATGCCCTGTGAAGGTGTGCTGCTGCAGCACTCTGCAGTCTCCCTCTGGGAGAGGGGAGTCTTTCGGCTGTGTGCTCAAAGCTTACTCTGTTGTTTTGGCTGTCTGCTGCTGGTCTGGGCTGGAGGCCCTGTGTAGGTGCACGCTATAGCAGCACTCTGCTTTCTCTCTCTCGTGATTGCTGCAAGAGCAGGGTCTCAGCTGAACTGTTCCAGAGATGCTCACTACAGCATCCTTATTCCGTCACTCCAGGCAGCACGGCCCAGCATGCATGCATGGACTAGGGCTTCCTAGTAGTTCTGCTTTTGCTCCCAGTGGGGCGGCCCAATGGGTGTATACAGCTGTGGCCTGGTACAGGTGAACTTCAGCACCCTGTTGTGCCTGCTGAATATAGCTCCAGATTTTTGGGGAGCTGGGGAATGTGTGTGCCTGCTATGACGCACTGTTATTCTGCTGGAGCTAGCTCCAGGTGGGGTAGCTGGAGACACACTACCGCAGCCTCACAGGTCAGCTAGAGCACCTGGTAGAGCTCCTGCCTGGTCTTTCCAAGTGCAGGGGCAATGTAAACAGGGATGCTCACTGACTCCTCCGTTCCTGGTGGGCTCCCACATTTCCCCAGTCTACTCTTTGTGGTCTCTCCTTTGTTCTGCAGAAGTTGTTCATTTGTCCTTCAGTTGTCTCTCAGATTGAATTGCTCTAAATACAGGTGCATATTTGGTATGTTCACGCTAGGGGCGAGCTCCATGTCCTCTTTTGCTACCTTCTTGGACCCACCTCCTACACTTATTAAAACCAGAAAATTAACATTAATATAGTCATACTAACTAATCTATAAACCTCATTCTGATTTTGCTAGTATTTTCCTATATTTTTTTTTTCTGGTTCAGGAACCAGTATAACATCCCACTTGAATTTAGTTGTTGCGTTTCCTTAGTCTCCTCCAGTCTTTACAGTTTTTGTCTTCGTCTTTCTTTACTGTGACATTTTTGAAGTGACAGTAATTTTGAAGAATGTCCTTCAGTTTAGATTGGTGCGATGCTTTCCTATGTTTAGATTGAGGTTAAACATTTTTAACAAGAATTCCACAAGTGATGTTTTGCACTTCTCAACACATCACATCATAGTGTAAATATGTCTTATTACTAGTGATGTTAACTTTGATCACTTTGCTGCTATGGCGTTTGAGGGAGTTCTCCACTGTAAAGAAACTTTTTCCCTTTATAAGTATCTTGTAGGGAGATATTTTGAGACTATGCAAATATCTTGTTCTCATACAGTTTTAGCCCACTAATTTTAGCATCCTTCAGTGATTTTCCCTATGACAATTAACCACTGTGGTGTTGGCTTAATACTAATTTCTATTTTCATTGTTCCTTCTATTTGAAATTGAAAATTTGAAAATTAATTGAAATTCTGGTATAAGGAATAGGTCTCTTTTTTCATTTATTTAATAATTTATTTATAATACACCACTTCATCTAGAATGAGCTAAATGGCAGAGTAATGAAAATGCTCTGGAAATAAACTACCCAAACTTTTTTGCTCCAGAATATCACAGCAAAAAATTAGTTCTATATGTAAGAAAAAAAAGTTCTGTATATAAGACGTCTGTTGATGTCAAAAACCAAAAAATGTCATTCATCATTTTGGTTTGTTTTCTTTTTAGCTTACAAAAAAAAAAGATGACATTTTTCCATAAGCAATAGTTTAATAGTGCTTACTTGCATTAATTAATTTAATGTATTGAAAATATCAGTATTTAGCATTCATATTTTAAATATTTAAATAAAAATACGTTTTATATTCCAGGTGCTGGAGCGATTCTGATTCCTCGCCTCGACATTGTGATTTCCTTTGTTGGAGCTGTGAGCAGCAGCACATTAGCCCTAATCCTGCCACCTTTGGTTGAAATTCTTACATTTTCTAAGGAACACTACAATATATGGATGATCCTGAAAAATATTTCTATAGCATTTACTGGAGTTGTTGGTTTCTTGTTAGGTACATATGTGACTGTTGAAGAAATTATTTATCCTACTCCCAAAGTTATTCCACAGAGTCCCTCTTTAAATTTGAATTCAACATGCTTTTCATCTGGTTTGAAATAGCTGACACAGAATTACGAGTCTTCTACTTTTGTCTCAGTTCTGAAAATGATTAAAATAAGAACTAGTAGAATGCATTGTACTATACTTAAAAATAGAAAAACTCTGTTTCCTTTTGACACAATACTGGTATTTTGCTGGTAAATTATTATTCTTTACCGGTAGTGGAAAACTATGACAGATTCTTAGTTTTAAGTATTAGCTAGCAATCATTTCAAATTTAGTTTTGAAAATTGAAAATTTAAATGTAAAAAAAATTCAAGAATAAAAAAGACTTTTATTATTCTTCATTCAATCAGAAATACTTTAACCAAGATGCTCTCTTTTACCCCATGCTACTCTTTTGCCACCCAATAGAGGAGAGAACAGGATTCCAACAATACGAGCATTAAAAGACGTCCGTAACAAAGATCCCCAGGCCATCGCAGCAAATGTCAAAGCACACTTCGTGTATCATGTAAAAATGTCTCGACTATGTTTTTATTAGAGAACCAGTTTCTTATGATTAGCCCCTGAGAGTATAGAAAACCCTCACTAACCATAATGTAAGCATCAGAAATACATAAAACCAGTATTATTTTTACACTACTATGTAATACCAGTTGATCTTCATAATGAAAACTACGAGCATGGTGCAAGATTCTGGCTTAGTGTTTCACTTAAATTTGAAAGAGGCTTTAAGGCTACCCAGTACCCAGTACAAGTTCCTTATTTTTTACCTGAGGAAATCAGTGCCCAGAAATGTTAAATAATTTGGTCAGGACCACGCACCCTTGAGATGAAGAGTACTGAGCTTTTGATTCCGAGTCCAGGTTTTGTTTTTTCACATCTAAGAAAAGGAATAAATTATGTTCAGTTTAACTTTAATGTTGAGTCTCTTTAATTATATTTTACTGCTTTGAAATCGGGTGATCTTTGTATAGTATATGTGACCTGAGCAGAAAATCAGAGAATGCCAGAAAGCCTGAACTACAGCCATATAAACCTTAACAAGGGAAAGAAACAATGTTTTTTTTTTTAAACAGAATAGAAACCACTTACTGGTTTAACTGCTGGCAGGTAGAATGTGCCCAACCATCCTGTTTGTGGCTTCAGCTCTCATTGTTTCTTTTCTTTCTAGATTTTGTAGGCACCATCTTTCTTAATGGCAGAAAATAGGTATCTGACAAAATACAGGATTCGTGCACTGTTTACAACCGTATGGCCTTTTTTTATTATAGCCCTTTATTGATCTGAATGTGCAGAATGAAAGAACTGTAAAGAGATTCATGATTAGGAAAAATCAAGACCATAATAAACTCTACTAAATATCTAGGTTTCTTCCAGAGAAATACCTTCTGTTACTCCATATATTCTTTAAGCCCAGTTATGAACTCAAAGAATCTCAGTTGGCATAGGAGATAAAAATTAAGTTTAAAACATTAAGAACCCTGCTTTTTAAAAAGTTCATACTTTAAAATGTTCAACTTTTTAATCAGGCTAGTGGTACTTTAATACTCTGTCAAGATCACTGTAGTGTGTACATTCTATTTTTATATATAAATGTTAACATAATTCAAGTATTTTTTGCCTTCATCATTAATGAGTCATCAAGTTAAATCCTAAAAAAATATCAGAAGCTTTATTTTGGTACAAATTCATAAGAATCAAACTTTTTTTTAACATTGGCATTAAGTAACACCAGTAATTGTGATACTTCTATGCCAAATCTGTTATGTTGAACTTTTAGTCATATTAAATGTAGAAGTTACAGGAAAAGTAATTACAATTGAAACTAATGTTATATAATTTTGATTCTAAGAATAAATTAGGTATTTTAAAAAACTATAACTTGATATGACTTGAAAACTTATTTAATGGAAAGCACTGTTAAGTTTTTTCAGCTCTCTTTAGATAATATCTGTAGTCTGTATGTGAAATTTTATTTTTATATTTTCACCTGTTTATTTTTCTTATGAATTCATAAAAGTCAGTGAAATTTTGAGTAGCTTATAGCAATAAATTTTAAATTTATCATAAATGTTGAGCACATTATCAGCCAGGCTTCCTTATGCAATGAGTGCTGAATTGGCATTCAGTACTTAATTCATTAAACTATCAATACTTTAAGTACAAGATTTGAAATACAGAAGAGGAGCTTACAAGGGAGAAAGTAGTTTTAATTCTTAACAGAAAACACTATATATAAATGGACTCTTATTTAAGGATTTGTGATGATGTATTTGCAAGAAAATCAGTGGGCGATATTTTTCTTCTGAAATTTTATTTTTAATGAGTCAGAATTTTCTAAAAATTTTGTGGAGAAATTTTGATTAGGCCAGTTATTGCTTTTATTTTGGAGCCTGGAAAAATGAGAGTGATTGCACTTGCCAAATTTTGTATTTAGTATCTTTTTGGTCCATTGCATTATGGCTAAGTGATTCAGCATTTCATCTGCTACCCCAGTAAAGTCCCTTCTCTGAAAGCTAATCATGTGCCTGAGAGCCTTTTCTACTACTGGATGAAGGGAGAAAAAAGAAAGCTTTATTTACCTCTGATGACCTCTTAAGTCAGTTATCACTATTTCCCTTACATCCAGAGAGGTTTCACCAATTTCATAGTTGACTTGTCAAAACACTGGTTCTCAGACATTTTTTATCAGAAGATCTTTTCCCCACTTGGCCAGATTTCTCCACAGTTAAATAAGAACTAGTTTTTTTTTTTCCCTCGGTTAGAGACTCATTGTATATTGTTACCAAATGAAAAAACTACTAAATAGAAAGTGCCACATTACATTTTATTTCTGTCCTCACTGAATTCTCCATTTCTGTTTCTCACCCAGGCAATGCACTTAACATTTTATAAGCATTTTATGCACTGTACATGTTGTAAATTTCTTAATAGGGCCCAAAATCAGTATTTTCATTAATATTTAACAAAAATTCTCTAACTGCAAGTTCTATAAAAATATTAATTGAAATACTAAAGTTCTGTATCAGTGCCATTTCTAGCTGAAGTGAAGCCCAGGTCTTGCCTGTGGTATCTCTTTGCTGCAGATGTCAATCAATATAGTGTCTGAATCGTGCATTTGTTTACTGATCGTATATACCCACCTTAGATCTTGGCCTTGGTTCTCTTGTCTTTAAAAGGGAGAAAATACAGAATATAGATCATGAAAATAAATAACACCAGTGGCTCAATATTTTTTGTTGAGGAACAAAACAATCTGATAAAAATGTAGACCATTAATAACGTAAAATTAGGGCTTTTTAAAAAATTGAGTATTTTGGTCATTTTACCTTAACTAGCTTCCCCCTCCTTAAGAAAATTTGAGAAACTTTGATCTTAAAGGTATAACAAGATATTTTCTAACATTAAACGGCTGACCGATAACATTTTGACAGCATTATGGTTAATCTGGTTTTTGCCACTGGTGCTCGCTAGGCTAAACACCTTTCTAAAAAGTGATTGGTTTTCATCCAGGAGATAAGAAAACATGCTCAAGAAGTGACTAAAAATGCTGTTTATTGCCATATGATAAAATGATACGTCATTCTTAGATTTCATATTAAAATTAGCTTGTTCTTACACTCGTGCACATGCCTGCAGTCTGTGAATTAGATACCAGTCCTCATGTACCGTGTGAATTGGGTCCAGAAAGGTGATGTGTTGAAAGGTCGCTCTGAAAATTATTCCATTAGTGTTTTCTTGATAAGAGGAAAATATATATTTATACCATAAATTAAGCTGTTAGTTTGTTTTTCAAATGTTTTTGTTAGTTTGAAAACTATCATTGCACTTGAATCAGTTCTTTTTCTTTTAACTTATTTTTCTTTGATATAAAAAAAAATTTGTCTTCAAGTACTGTAACTTCTGAATTTTCAATAAAATTATTTTGCTTGCAAATGCCTTTTAAAATAAATTTGTCTTTTATAAGTTTAAATGACATTGACAAATGTCATAAGCTGAAAATGGCATTGGTATATGTGATATTCACATAACATTTTAATCAATCTTTGTGGTTAATTCTTTGTCTTGTGATCTTCAACCTTGGGAGCTGCGATTATGTACCTCTAAGAGCAGAAGTTGATTAAAAATGAAAGGGCATACTCAAAACCATGACCTGAACTTGCTACAGAGTAAATGCAGAAAGAGCAGTCTTCAGATGCTGCATCTGTGATTTAATCTACCACTTGCTTAAAGTCAAGGATCTGTATCAGTCACACCCTAATACATTTTGCTTGGCATTATTCCAACCCTGTACCCAAGACCATAAAGATATTTATATGTTTACATCAATAATTCTGCTCTCGTGAACTTAATGACATAACCAGAAGAGGACTGTGCCTAAAGGTGCATTGGCAGCATTAGATTTCAATAGTGAAAAACTGGAAACGACCTAAATGTTCAACAAAGAAATCGTAAATTATAACCTAGAATACAATGAAGTTTGCATTATACTGTTAAGATTAGTAATTTTGGAAAGAATAAGTACATGAAATTCATTTTTAATTGTAATTTTGTAAAAATATGCTTTTGAACCAAGACAAGGAGCTATGTAGAAAGTGGAACCATACTGTTAGGGAAAAGGAATTTAGTATTTTTAAATGAATAGTCGAAGGTGAGTGATGAGAAAAATAAGCTCTGGGGAAGGGAACAGGGACTTTATGAAGACTTAGTAATAGTAGTGCATGTTCTTGGCAAGCAACAGAAGAACCATAGAGACCAAAAAAAAAAAAAAGGGTGGAGACAGCACTAGCTATACAGATATGAATGCAATGAAAAGCCCTATGGAATACTTGCTAGAGGAAAAAAATACAGCGCTTTGTAAAATTAATTTTAGTGGGTTTTTTTGTGCAAAAGTTTACAGTAGTTTAACGGATATGCAAAAGCTCTCAACATTTTTTTGTGTAAATTGGTGGGGTACACATTTCAAGGGGTTCACAGACCTGAGGGGAAATTTTTCTTGGGAAAGGAGCACCCATTTTTGAAAAACGGGTTTGGTTCAGTTTCCCTATAAAAGATTTTTTTGAAGCCTTAAACTGGTTTTAGGGAATAGAGTTTGTTGGTCTGCATAGTTATCTGGTGCCATGAAGCACAGGACAGCCTGGTACCAGGTGATAGAATGCTTCTCAAACTAAAGCTAATTTGTGTACCTTGCTAAGAAATTAGGGAGTATTTCGTTATGTCTTCCATACTGGATCTTGATCTGTGCTCAGGGACGAGGACTAGACACTGACCACTCAACATGTACTGAGCAGAGAGGAAAGGTGTGGATCAAGGATGAGCAGGTCTAGAGAAGAACAAAGTAGAGCAAAAACCGGGCCATGCGGAAGCGAGCACCTTCGGATCATAGACCTATGTCTCATGTATCTTTGTAGCTCTGGTGCCTCACAGCACCCCACTCAGGTGCAGACCAGGCGCTAGAAAATCTAATCTTGTCACTCTCCTGTATTTCTTCCTTTCCCAATCTCAGCTGTACAAAGACCAAGCTCCTCGATGTGGTTCACTAGCAGCCTCACTCTCTGCCTCCTCCTCCAAGTTACAGCAACACCAGAGTTCTAGTCGCACCACAAACACTGCACGCATTCTATTTTTCATTTGCAGGACTCCATCACTTCATGTTGAGACAATGTCCTTCTACGCCCTCCCTAATGTATTTCCTGGCCAGTCCTTAGTAGTTGTTAAGATTCTGTTTAGGTGTCTCTTTTACCAGGAAGCCTTCCCATCTACCCTCTCCCCTATTCAGAGTGAGTTGTGTATTCCTTCCTTCACGCTAGCAAATGACCTTGGGGTTATTAGCCTTTCCATATTGTTTGGTAATTTAGTATCTGTGTCCATCTCCGTTTAACTGGGAGTTCTACATTATATATATAGATAGATATAGATATAGATATAGATATAGATATAGATATAGATATGTATTATTTATATATATATAATATATATATTATTTATTGTTTTGGTTTCTTCTCTGTCCTCCCCTAGAGAATAAAACTCCAAGAAGGTTCATCGTGTTCACTACTGAAAACCCAGTGCCTAGAAGGGCATCAGGCACATAGCAGATGCTCAAAAATATTTGTTGAATGAATAAATTGACAAAAATATCAAGGAGAAGCCCATGTTAGAGCTCTGGTACATAATAAAATCTTCAAGCAAAGGGGCAAAGTCACACTTTTTGTGCTGTCCCCTTTGCTCCTGTGCCCATTTGTTTCCAATCGTATTTTCTACTTGATATGCTAGCTCAGCAGGCTACAATACTGTAAAGCAAAGACCTCCCATCTCTGAGTGTCTTATAGAAGAAAATCTTCTGAATCAATCAAATCTAAAAACATTCAGGAGCTTCTGGTAATGTATATGAAGTCTAATAAGGAAAAGACTGAAAACTCTCACAAGCCTTTATGTCTTCATGTTTTATGTGAGCGAATTAAGGTTTGTAAAATCAGAGGTTATCCTTCCCACCCACTGTTTAAGAAGTTACATATGACCTAGAATGCAAATGGTCCTTTACCATCTAAAAAATGTAAAAAGAAGTATCTGCTTAAAGTATAACATTGAGCCCTGATATCTCAGAGTATTTTCCTGAAATTTTGATGCCCAGTGTTCCCTGCTTGGAAGAGTCAGATATTTAGTAGTTTTTTGGAATCCTCTCATGAAGGAGGATATTCTCTGGCTATTCTGAGTTGTCAAAGGGCATCACAGTATATGCCATAAATGGACCTCAGTAAAAATCAAGAATGGGAATCAATAAGTACTTGGAAATGTGATTGTTGAGACGATCATTTTATAGAAATAGCTAGAAATGAAAAATGAAAATTGTAACAGCCACAGATATTTGGAAATTGGGA